ACAGACTGCAAGTTTTTAAGTATGATGGCACGTTTGTGTCTTGCATTGAGAGCACTGGCGACAAGCTTCATCAGCCATTGGGAATATCCACAACTGATGATGGACATGTTCTTGTTGCAGACAAACTTAACCACTGCATTAAGAAATACAAATACATGTAATGAAGCTTGTTTACCCAGTGTCACAATGCCATAAAACATTACTGAAACCAAAGTGATATAATTTTTGATTTCCATCAGAAAAATTTTATATTCAACAACCAAATCACGGAAACCTGAATGAAAAACAAGTGTTTTGTACAGAAAAATGTAGACCTCAATAACATTTTCCAATTCGGATGTCCAATGTGGAACTACCAAAACTCAGTTTGGACCAAATTGTAGTACTTTACAGGATTTTTCAAAGTTTAATATGGATTTTTCAAAAGGCTGTAAAACACAAATAAAAAGATCAAGAAATATTGAACAATGAAACTGTAAAAAGATGGCATCACAGAAACTCTGAACTATTACAAGATCAATTTTTGTGTGGTATCGCTTATTGGTGCTATGAATTTGCAAGTCTGTCAAAACTATTTTTCTATCAGAGATAATCAGAATTTATAGACTTTGTATCAACCTTCTCTGTACTAACTATTATTTGACAATCCTGTACATTTGTTAATTTGTAATAAGGAGATAACACACCTTTTATATTATGTTTCAGATCTCATTGGTCAAGATGAAAAAGCAATTTAATCATTGTTAGACTATTCTCTTTCAGAATATTTTGATAGACCTGAATATGAAGTTTTGAAAGTAAGCGACATTGCTTCGGCATCCTTATAATATACAATTACCAAGATTTTTTTTTTAAATAGTGTGATAGAATTTACAAAATAACCAGACAATAATTGGGGCCTCTGGTCATTCTATTTACAGAAAAAGTATGAAACTTTGCATGTTTATATATTTACTTATTGCTCAAACTTCAACCAAGTCACTCACGGCTATTCTTTATTCTTTCAAAATTTATCATAATTTTTATTTTATGTAGTCATTCACAAAAACAAGCTTTATGACCTTAAAAAATGTGACATGTTTATTATTGATATATGGTCTACATGGGAAGCTTTTTTTCAATACAATTTTATGCTGGTTATTTATCTTATTTATCTATTTTGTTGACAATTTATTCATTTTTTCACTAGAGCAAATAGTGTCAATGGTACCTTTTTCCTTTCCATTTTTTCCTTGAGTAAATATTCCACTCATGCAACTGTACAAAGTTTGTAGCTATAGTATATATGACCATGTATATATTTGTGGTAATAAAAAAGAATGTGAACCTACTATTTTGGTTAAAGCCAAATATCCACACTCTAAGTCAACTGCGAGAACTAAGGAAGCACTGTGTACTTTACTATAAATACTTGTTTCATTTCCTGCTTCTGTTCACCAAAATAGAGTGCACCCAAAGAATCAATCAGATAAAATGGTAGTGCTTTCAAGAAGATGAAAGATTTCTTTACAAAATTCCATAAACAGTTTGTGTTTTTTCTCACATTTCTATTGAATTAACATGAAGTAGACCATAGTATGAATCAATATGGGCTCTGTTACACCACGAAATAAAAAAAGTTTATTTCTGTTTCTTATGGTTTGCTTCTTTAAAGAAAATCAATTCAAAACCCACAAAATGTAACGACACATGCTAAAGTAAGATTGAAAAAAAAAAAGGCTTAAAGACCCGATCAATCAGAAATGCTAAGTTGACTTTTTCTACCCAAATGATTTTTCGATGAAAAAAACAAGCCTTTTATATTAGCTACTATAATTACACTGCCCCAGCAGTCAGCTATCTACATCACCACATTATCACGCAAACACACAAAACCCAGGAGAAATATGGACAATAAAATAAACCTTTACATCAAAGGCACAAGCTATTGACTTCATTGGTTAATTATTGAAGGCAAATCCATTGTGCTTTTTACCCAATAGTATATATTATGCATGGTGTCTAGGGGTGGATAAGGGGGTCTGGGTACACAGATCCATAAACCACCTGTCCAATGAAGTGCTGTAATGTCCCTATAATTTTGAAGAAAAATAAATAATTATATCCCAAGCTTCATACTTTGGCTGTCAGAGTAGGAAAATATTACGGGAATTCTAAACACCCATTTCAGTTCAAGTAAGATATTTTGTGGTAAACTAAAATTCAAGAATCTTAAAATAATACAAAATATCTGGAATTGGTGAAGAGTGTGAAACTTGTGAGCAATTACCGTAGATCAACTGGTTTACTTTTCTGTACTTTGGAAGAAACATGGGATTAATAACGAAATTTAAACTACTTCATTTGAAAATATTGTCCTCAGAACTGAAGAGTTCACAGTTCTGAAATGAGGTCACCAGGTGTGTTATGTTGTTAACCACCCCAGATTTATACCTGAAAACAAACAAGAATCAATAGAATCAATACTTTTTGTAAAAACTGCCAAACCCTGGTTGTTTCTTGTGGAAAGTTTTCTGGGAGCTTACAGAGATAATAACTCTTCGTATGAAATTTATATTTCACAATAAATACATTGTAAACAATTCACAGAAATATAATGTATTCTATTTTACCACAAAAACGACAGTTAAAGCAATTAATCTGAAATCTGTGGTTGTCATCACACCACGTGACCTCCTTAAATGGCTATACTCTGTAATAATCTCATAAGATAATCAAACTATTTAGTAAAAAAAACAGGGACTAACTTTGAATGTAAAAATGGATTCATTAACCATTGGTTAGTATGGGAAAATTGTCGTTTTCCCCAGAAAAATAAATTTTTTGGCCAAAATGAACAGTTGTTATCCCTTAAAATAACAACAATCAGTTAATTAGTTTGGAAAATACTCATAAATTAACTAACACTTATCATCATCTCTGGCTTACTTATCAAATTTACTATTGATTTACTACCTGATCTAGTCTGATGTCTAAGAATAATTATGTATAATTTTTTAGCATGACTGTCATAGTATCACATAGCTGTTTGGGCACTAAATCATTATGAAAATCTAATAAGCCATTTCATGAATTTCTATCAAATGATATATTTCATTCAGTTTAAAAGGTTTTAAAAATGAAAAGCCCCTGGTTGCTAAGAATGCATGTGCATGTCAACATTATTGTCAGATTAAAAAAAGGTTAAAATACTCATTGTAAGTGCAATATGATTCTTAATCAGTAACTGCTAATATTTGGCGTAAAAACAAATTTCCTGTATTCTTAGCTTTTCTCCTCCACATCTGTTGTTTCAAAGTATTGACATGTATCTGTATTTACTATATACACACTGTTAACATGCACTTAACAGATTTGAACAAAGACTTATTGTATTTCTTAAGACAATATTTTATTACTAGTAATTTTGTAATATTTGAAATAAATGATAACAAATTTCTAAATAAAATAAATGGTAATAAATTTCTTAATAAAACTGAGATGGTTTCTCAACAGTTGGGAACAGTTAGTTTTTTTTTTTTTTTTTTTTTTTTTTTGCAAAAAGTTACTACACATGTAAATACTTAACAAATGTGTACCTTCACATCAAGTCCATCAATATCCAGAAACAACTATTTTAGTTCTGCTCATTGTTCTATAAAAGCTTTTAGAGAGCATGTTTTCCTATTTTAGATGGCATTGATTTTATCCCCCCAAAACATAAACCTACGTGTCCTAGAGCATTTCAGTCAAGATTGATTTTCTGCTTTACATTTATACATCCATAGTATCAGATCCTGATCTCTCCCCCTCTCTTTTTTTTATTGATTCTCTGTTCAGACATCAAAATCCTAGCACAGTTAACTTGTTTTTGAATAATAACCAAATCATACAGTCCTACAGTCTTCAATATATTTGTCTTTTTATTGTCTTTACATATAATACTTAAGGAGGAGAAGAAGTAACAGTGACTTCCATCCGGCGCCAGAATGCCGAGCTGATGGAACCGTACAAGAGGGGCCAGCTCTAAAACCTTGAAAACTGCCAGCGCACTCGCTGGTGGTACTAACTAGTTTTATCCCCCAAAACTAATCCTCTATAACACATACTCTTCAATCAGCCTGTCCTGATGAATGCAAACGGTCGATGAACTATGAAAACAAAACCAGCTTCCTGCTTGGATATCACAGATGTGATATTTAATGTCACATGTATATACTGGCACTATGGGAAACGTGAAACACTGATGCAGTCTGTACCAATGCTTTTCAACTTACAGGCCACCAGAGTCTGAGAACTTAAAGCCCTGAACCAAAATTCACAGGCCCAAAGTCCAATTTTTTAAAAATTTTTACTAAATTTAAAACATGGAAATTACACAGGCTTTCTATTACAAATAAGAACAAAAACCTGTGGTTTCAAAATGTTAAAAAATGTTTGAAAAAAGACTTCAACATATATAAAACAGATTAGAGTGCAAGTCACAGCTGAAAAAATTCACTGGCTGGGTCAGGCCAGTCATTGACTGTTTTTCAGAAAATCCACTGGACTGGTCCTAATTTTGCCAGCATTGGCAGTGGAGCCAGTGGTTAACATCACAGGCTGTTGATGATACATTAGAAATAGCATGACACAGTGTGAGACAGAGTGACAGAGTGAGATGTGACTACATATTGCACTAGTTGAGACTGAGCTGAGACTGCTGAGCACAATGCTACAGAAAACTTGATAAAACAGATTGCGCCCTAAGCATTAATATCACTGTTACAGTAATCAACATCAATGACCAAAATAAATCACAGGGACACATGGTGGTTGTACAACTGGCTCTAAATTCTTTAATTACAACATTTTCATAATGTTCTAGTTACTCAATAAAAGTCAATGTGATAAGTGTAACATTTCAACCTGAAGCACATTGACATACTGCTACAAAAGATAGAAATGACCAGGACAAACCCTTTAAACTTCTACATACATGACACTGGTGCTGACATCTACTTTTCTGTATGAAAACTTACCCTCCTTATTTCCTGCTCCCTCTCTCGCTCTGCCAGGTTCACACGGTGCTGCCCCCTATCTTCAATTTCCTGGCGTTTCCTGAAGGCGTCATACTCAGAGCGTAGTTTCTGGGTGGTCTCTGCATGCTCTCTGTATAATTCCTGTGATAACAATAATATATGAAATTGCTGCATATTTATCTTCTATGAAAACATAATCCTATCCTAACCAGCATAGTACAGACTAGCATCTTTGACAACATAGAACTTCAACTTTAACTGCACACTGATTTCAATTTAATAAACAAATAACATGTCACAACTTGTCATTGGCCTTTTTTTCTAACTATTTTCTGTTCTATGTTTTTGCATTTTTCTGTTATATTTTTGCATGTGTTCAACAATGGCATGGTTGTACCTGTTCAAACATTTTCTTCTGTAGCTGTAACTCCAGATTCTTTATCTCTGCTTCCTGCACTGCATGCTGGGTTTCCATTTCCCTCATAGCAGCCTAGGGTAAGGACATATATAGAGGTGATGTGAGGGACCAGTCAATACAATGTGGACTTGTATGGATAGAATTATTATTAGAAATCATGGATTTACTTGTTTACTAAAATATTCACTTGTGTACAAAGGAAAAAGAATAGCATGGAAAATCATTTTTAAAAATATAGCTGATATTACAGTTTCCTTTCTTCTTCTTTTTCTTCTTTTTTTACTTCACTCATTTCACTTCCATCTTTATGTATCTTATCATACAATATCTTTCACTTATTTTTGTTCAAAGGAAAAAAGGAAATATTTCCATACCTTGACTAATTCATCAAACTACTTCAGTTTGCCAAACTGTTAAGATATAAGCACAACTTTTCTGGTACCTTTCTCTGTATTTCATCATCCAGTCTCTTGATTTCTGATGTCCTCTGTTTCTGCTGATAATTCATGTATTTCCTTCTTGTGGCATCGAGCAGCTTCATTTCCTTCATCTTTACTTCACGATTCATGGCCTGAAGCCTTCAAATAAAATATAAAACTTTTCTTAAAGCATTATGCATTTCACAACTTTGTCAGCCGTTTTTTTTTCTTTTCAATTCTTATTTATTTATTTATTTATTTTTTTTAATTTTTTTATTCTGCTAAGTTTGAAGTTACTGTTAAAAAATATCTTAACAATTTTATTTCAATGTACTAAGAAGCTACATCTTCAAACTTTAATCTTATAAAAAATTTGACCCCTGCCCCATCCCTAAGCATAATGAGCAAGTAGGAATTCCACATTGACTTGGTAACAGTGATCATCTAAAAACTAGATATGTAAATTGTAAGATACGGCCAAACAAAATTTATACATCACTTAGGGACCCTAATTTTCACAAAATAAAAAAAAATAATAAAAAAATTACCACAGGTATTTTCTACCTACTGACCCTAAGATTAAACTGACCTTGTTTACAGTAAGACACCATTCGTCTGTCCTAACAATAATTCTTACCTTGACCTCTGCTCGTACAACTTCTCTTCCTCCTCTGAGATCATCTTCCTCCTCTTCTCCTCCGCCTCCAAAAGCAGCTCCTGCTGTCTGTACCATGCAGCCTCCTCCTGCTGACGACGCTCAGTCTCTTTCTGGAGCTCTAGAGACACCTGCCGCTGCCGTAGGTACTCCAGTTCTTCCTCACGGATTCTCTCTCTTTCTTGAACCTAGCAAAAATTTACCCCTATCAATTATTTCGAAGCTTATGGTTTTATACATTTATCTTAAACTATTTCTCATCAGTGATAAAATATACATAAATCTCTGGGTGATTCTCAACTAATCCTCTCTTTTCTGAATAAATTAAGATTCAAAACAAAAACAAGGTCACAGATAACCCACACCTTTTGTCAAGAATAAAAAAAGAGCTCCATCAAAGGACCTTTAATTGGAATTTTCATGTATTTAGTAAAAGGCATCTTCAGAAACAAAACTGAGGATAGACAGTTGCATGCTGAGCAATAAATATTTGAAAAATTAGTTGAAATAAGTGAACTCTGGAGAAAAATCAAGAAAGCACTCTAAATTCTGTATTCTTGTCCAAATGATCAACCTGATTTTGGGCAGTTATCACATGTTATAATGACAGAGGTCAGAGGTCCCGTCCAATGACTTGATCTGTAGACACATAAAAAAAAAATCTGTATAGAACCAATCACAATGCCTGGCACAAACCTACAGAACCAATCACATCACTTGACACAAACATACAACAGAACCAATCACAACCCCTGACACAAATGTACCTGATAATCCACAATAAACTTGGGATATTTATTGAACACTGGGTACTGCCCCCTGGTGAGTGGCTGGAACGTGTCCAGCATCCTCTCAGGGTGGACGTCAGGTGGGGTGGTCTCCTGGATCCTGTACGCTTCTTTAATCACGTCCCCTATGTCCATGGCATTGCGGTGGTGGAAGAAGTACTGAGAGGGGAATGGATGGTTTGTTTGCATTATTTTGTTTATTAAAAAAATTTCAGTGAGACATTTACAGTGAAAAAGATGAGACTTATCTCTCACTGCACCTTAATATAAAGGCTGGTGCAGTAATACACTGAATAGAAAGTTCTCATAGCTTACTCTTCTTATTATTATCTACAATTCCTGTAACAACTATTTAAAACAATAAATTTAGTGTTTAAATTCAAGCACTGTACCATACCCACACACACACACACAGTCACACAATACCTTGAAATCATCAAATTCTATACACTGTAACAAGGGTCCTCTGCATGCCGTGCAGTATGCCACCACGCACATGAGGAGAAATGCAGGGTGGTTACTGAGTACGTTGTCAAACAGGCGTAACCACTCGTCCTTGGTGAGAACTTCAGAGAACAGCGTCTCCAGCACGGGCCACGCATAGATCTGAGAAAATAATGGAACTGTTTGATAATGCCAATTACAAGTCAGACACAGATAAGAGACTTTTAAAATTTAAGAGTGTGCTGTTTAAATTCATGAAAAAGCTAAACTTCTTTCTGTAAAAATTACCCACTGCCATTTGAGACAGAGCACAATAAATGAACTTCAAGCTGAAAGGGATTTCCTCACTGTGAAAAATGCCGTTTGGTAACTGCAGATATCTAAATCCCATCCCCTCCCCTCGAAAAAAAAAAAAAAAAAAAAAATCCAGAAAACCAAGCATTCACAGCATTCACAGCATTTCTTCAATAGTCTAAGAACCCTTGCAGAGTCGGGTCGAACCATGTAGGCCAATGTGTTTATGGGCATGAGCCCTTAGTTCACTGACCTGTGAGGTGACACCGTACTTAACAAAATGCTGGAGCAACTCCTTGTCCTGAAAGGCGAGGACGTTCTCCACCATCCCCAGAACATTGATGGGAGGGTTGGGGAAAAACTCAAACCAGTGCTGACACCAGTTTACTGAAATAGACCAGTGATGCTTTTATTATAGGATTTATGAAACTGAACTGAGAAAACAAAAGTCAAGTCTCCAGTTTCTACCAGCTGCTTATCAAGGTACCATTGCTACTAAATTTTGTGACAGGAAAAAAAACAATAGTATCTAATATCATCCACCTTTTCATTTTAACTTCTTCCCGACTTAAATTCGATTCTTGCATTATTAAAAAACCAACATCAAACAAAAACAAACTAAAAGAGAGATTAACACACTAAAATACAATAAAGTAACTATATCTTTTATGCTACATTTATTCCTCTTATCAACATATAACTAAGCACCAAAAACAGATGACATTAAGACCATAATGACTGAGCACAATATACATATACAAGCATACCAAGAACAGTTGCTATTATCTCAAACAGCACCAGCTGGTTATTCTGGAACAGCTTCACAAAGGGGAAGGTCAGGAGAGGCAGGTAGTCCATCTCACCAAAGATGGCCGACCAGTGAGAGAGGGCCGATAGGGTTCTGAAAGTGTGTCAGAAACATGAAAAACACAGTTTCTATTAACTGGAATTCAGAAATAAAACTGTAGAATTCCTATTAATAAAAACTTTGTTTTTTTAATGTTCATTTCAAATATCATACACAGAAAGAAAAATTGATTCCTTTGCAAGTATTCCTAACACATAAACCATATACAATGAAGATGACAAAGATGAAGATAAAGATGATCACTATTAACTGTTTCCAATATCTCTCATTATGAAAATATTCAATTTGTAGTCTCTTCAACGTTTATTTGAATACAATGGGAAAAATATACAGTCCAAGCCAAAATGTTTGTAAAATCTGACCTCTGCAGCACTCTCAACAGTTTTCTGCTCTTTATAGGAAACTTCTCATGTATGTTTTCATACGCCGGGTGCGTGCCCTTGTCTACTAGGGAGGCATACGCCGCATGGTTCTCTGGTAGTCGTAGGATGGAACGCCAGAGAAACATCCTGGACATAAAATAATGTAAATATTTAGCTTATAAATTTTTTACTTAAACCAAAAGTACCTTTACTGTCCTTTTCAAGCACTCTTTCTATCTCAAAAACAACTGAGTATTCTAAATGCAGGAATAAGACAAGAGTTTATTCAGCCTTTGATATACAAACCAAAATTCACATGTAGCAGAAAATGGATTGCTATTCGGGTAAAGTGAATGAAGTATAAGATAACAAAATAGTTTCTAAAAAAATAAGCACGAGATGATGAGAGCAAAAACAGGTGACACTGGGACAGCTATAATAGTCAAAAAAATTTTCAAAACCAAGCCCCACAGTTTTTATTTAATTTCAATATTACACATCAATTTCTATGTCCAAATATTGTTACTAGTACCTATATTTAGCTGGATACTCTCCATAGCCCCTCAATATAGCCATCAGTTTATCCATGTTCAGGCCCTCAGGTAGCCCAACCTATTATAATATCAAATTGAGAAAATACACCTTTATACATATAACAACAATCAGTGGAAGTATAAAAGCTCTGATATCCTGAGTGACATAGTGATCACAGAGTTATAATGCTACATAACTACAACTTGGTAAATGTATGTGCTGAGATGACAACAGAAAATGTTTTCAAAGTAAAATGAACAGAGTCCCACTCTTACACTGCATTTTTCGTAATAAAAAATTTGATTATGTTTCACATTTTAGTCTGCACACAGAAAAAGGAGGAGAAAATCTTCTAAAGATAAAGACATTCCCATCCACATCTGAACCCCAAGGTTAAAACTCCGGCACACAAAGACCTCTACACCTACCTGTTCCTGACTAGTTTTCTTTGGTTTCACATCCACAGCTGACACATCGCTGCCCTGAGCCAAGCGGGCTTTACGCTTTAACCTGGAAGCTCGTTTCCCCTGGGTCAGATCTGCCTGCGACAATGATGTGACATCCCCCGTCTCCTGCTTCCTCTGCGATGACACCACTGACACCAACGGGGGAGGAGGCTGGAAATATAGCAATTTACAGAGTGTTACAAAAATAATCTCACACATCAAGACTTTTCAGCACTGTCATGTCTTTGTTTTTTCACAAGATACTTTCTTCTATATGTTGAAGCTGTATCAAAGTCAGTGATAAACTTCTTCCAAAGATTATTTAGATTTACCATTGAGTGAAAAAATGCAACATTTAGCAGGATATTTGGAAAGTCTTGTGGATGAACACAGTGTCAACGTATACAGATAAACAAGGACGTCTTTAGATAAAAAGCATCCATGAAACTTCATAAGACAAAGAGCATCCATATCACAGGGGTGGATCCAGAGATATTTTCTGACACACTTCCAAATTATCTTGTTGATCCATCTTCAATTTCTGACCGTCTTCCAACAGAAAAAATTAGATACCCGACGGTATAACCTTGAAAATCTGACAGTCTTCCGGAAGACCCAGAAGACGGTCTCAATCTTCCCCTGTATCACTTGCCTTATTTAACTCTGCAGTCAGAGCCTGTACACTGTATATATTATCATATCACTTACCTTATTTAACTCTGCAGTCAGTGCCTGTACACTGTATATATTATCATATCACTTACCTTATTTAACTCTGCAGTCAGTGCTTGTACACTGTATATATTAAGATTCCCATCCTCCATCACTCCGACCACGTGGTGTCCAGTAGGAGACATAGCCATGGTGTTAATTCTGTCCCCTACACTGCCCAGGTCAAACAGCAACTTACAGGTGTGGATGTGGATGAACCTCATGATGCCATCTTGACTGAGGACACCCAGGACCTGGGGGAGAGGAAAGAGAAAAAATTAATGTGGGGTAGGGGGAAAATGAGGCCTCTCAAAATAATTGCTTTAGAATAAATGTGAAAATAGTCTCATATTTGAATTGTGAAAATGAGAAATTTGAAACAGTTTTATATTTGAACTGTGAATATGATAAACTGTATTACTTTTGAATTGCCTGAATAATTTAAATGGTTTCATTTTGGAATTAGAAAAATTTTGGAAAAACACCATATGATAACTCTCTAAGCAAAACTGAGTGCAATTCTTTCAAACTTTTTATATATCCTTAATTTCAAAAGTAAATAATTTAAAATAAACCATGCATACCTGACTGGAACCAGCATCAAACTTATCAGGCAAGAACTCCATCTCCTTCACTGATTTGACCTTGGCTGGAAGCTGTATTATCCTCAGTAGACGCCTGGTGTCCAGTGTCCACACATGGAGAAACCTGGACTTTCCTCCTGCCACCAGTAGTCTGCCATCCCTGGAGGATGAGGAGACAATTAATTTACAACATCCCTGTGGTTTACTGTGTAATAAAGACTCCCCCCCCCCCCCCCCA